CTCACTCTCATTTGTCATTTCAAAGCTAATATTACTTAATGCATTACCAGGCTCCTGAACTCCGTTAACTTGTTGGACATCTTCAAAAAAGTGTCTTCAGCCTGCCTTCTCTTCTGTCTTCTCTGTCTTCTCTTCTGTCTGCCAGCACCATCCTCAAGCGTTAGCATGATCCACTATGTGGCTAGGTACAATGATAAAAACACTAAGATGTTAACTACTGATCAGATGAGAAGTAGTGGGATATGGTTAGGGAGGGGAGTCCACTACGCCAAAAGAAATCTAAGCTGTGAGGTTTGAATTGGGCTTTTAGAAAACAAAACTTTTGATAACAGTTGGAAAAGATTGGTGAAGAAAGGTGCACAGAGAAGTGGCTGAAGCTAATATAGGGTTGAGTGGAAGGTGAGTAAATTGTAAAGGAAGGGGATCCCTGGGTGGCTCTGCGGTTTGTTGCCCACCTTCACCCCAGGGCGTGATCCTGGAGTCTCGGGATCAAGTGGATCAAGTCCTGCGTCGGACTCCCGGCATGGAGCCTGCTTCAACCTCCTCCTGTGTCTCTGCCTCTCTCTCTCTCTCTCTCTCTCTCTCTCTCATAAATAAATAAATCTTTAAAAAAAAATTGTAAAGGCAAGTAGGACTTCTGAGGAGTTGTAACGTTCCTATACAATGAAAGGGAAGTTTTATATCCTCCTAAGAATAGAACTGGCAGCAATGTAATGTATGGAATGGTGGAGATTCAGGTGGTTAGCCTGTTACAAGATGAAATGAGAGAAAAACCTGAATTAGGCTATTGGCAGAAAGGGCAGTGATAGCTGCTTGGCAATGGCTGAACCACAAAGGGATTGTAAGAGTTTTTAAAGCTGTGAATAGAGAGCAACAAACAGCCTCTGCTATTCTGACTTGTTCTGCGCTGTGTTCTACACGTTGGACACTAGGAGGCATCACTTCATCAACTAGTGAGGTGAGAAAGGCGGGTAGGTAGGTGGAGGAACCTAAGAAGTGTGGATAGATCTGTATCTGAGAGTTAATATTTAACCATTTCAACTAGGCATTTTGGAGATTAGTCTTCAAAAGGTTTTTCTACCGAACAGTATTTTAAAATGAATGGCTAAAATGTCTAAATTGCAGGCTGAATGTGGGCCTTTATGTGCTGCTCAGAGTAAACAACCATTTTCATAGGTCACTGGGATTTTAGCTATTTTTTGAAAAATAATTGAACCTTGCTGAGAGGTTCAGTCTTTAATAATCATTGCTCTGAGAGTCTACAGTGTATTGCAAATTAGGAAGCTGATAGTTTTTTGTCATGTATTCAAGTCGTAAATGAAAGTTAACAGTTATTAATAATTACCAAGTTCTATTAAATGTCTTTGGTATTGATTAGAGGACTTTTTAAACTAGTATTTGGCTATTTGCCAGGTAGGAGAAACTGCTGTCAACTCTGTTCAACTATTGTTTCTCCATCCTTTTGTTTACTCTTAACTAGAAACTAATAGGATGATCGTTTGTATAAATACCTCTCATAATATTAAATTGCATGTTGCTCGGAAAAGTTTGTAGGACTTATTTTAGATAGCATCTATATAGGATATAGCATTTAAGATCTAGAGAAAGGCCTAGCATATGTAGTATTTATTCCTTTTAAAATATTATACCAAATGCATATTGGTATGGCAAGTTTGGAGAGTTTTTTCATGGTCTCTTACAGCTTGAAAGTTTTTGAAAGGATGCATTATGAAAAATGCGTCAGCCTTTGAAGACACGGATTTTCTTTTCATGACTGATAGGCTTTTGATTTAGTTTAAATTTCTACATATATTGAGCTCCTACTGTGTGCCAAGAATTACACAGGGTGATTGGGACCTATCAAAACAATGGTTCTTGCCTTTTTGAGGAGGAACTGAACCTATAGGCACAATAAACTATTCAGTAGATGCTAGGAGATAATACATACTGTGGGGAAAATTAAGGGGAATGGGGTGGTTGCAGTTTTAGTGATTAGGATAGGCCTCATTGAGATGACATTCAAGCCAACTTGGAGAATGTGGGATGACCCTGATAGAACACATAGTTCGGAGGCTTCTACTGAAATTTCCTGACTCAATTTGTGGGTTGGGTATGAAGAGAAATACATAAAGGATATACTACAGGGCAGGTATGCTTCTAAATATTTGCAGTCCTGGGGCAAGAATGCAGCGGAGACACAAATGGTTAAATATTTAAAAGCTCTGTAAAAATGAAAGTATGATCAGTGCATCTATCTTGACAAAGGTATCTTTGTAAGCGCCTGACAAACCAGATTTATCTTAGTCTAGTGCAAGGATGTTTCTTGAGAGGGAGAGCTGATCCTCATCCCTTCTCTCCTTGTCCCCGTCTGAATGATATGGCTCATTTATATGGGTATCCTAGCCTGCACGTTCAAAATCTGCCCACCCCCTCCTACACTAGTGCACACACTGATGGAATGCGTTTCTTGGCAATAGTGGGGGCCATCTAGGCAGGGTATTTGGAATCCTGAGTACCTAGAGTTGGTCTAGAATGAGTATGAACTCCAGATAGGCAAGTCATTTCAACTCCTCTAAAGCTCAGGGCTCTGGATAGGGCCTCTTAACTTGTTTTAAGGGCAATACTGGAACAAGCTTTTTGGCCTGAGCAACTGCACAGGTGGGATTGGCCATCAACTGTGAGAGGAGCTGCAGATAGAGCAGATCAGGGTGGGGAGGGAGCACATAATACTTGAATTCTTTATTAGGTATCCAAGTGGTACTGTAGAGAAGAATAAAAAGACTTTTTTTTTTTTTTACAATTACTGGCCTGTAACATAAAACAAGGCTGCTAAAGTTTAAAAGCAAAACCCCAAGATGTTAAAAAACAAAACAAAACATGGTTTTAACTGCAGATCTTTATCGAACCAGTTCCATGCAGGAATTTAAGAAATCACATATAAACCTATGTTGGACTCCTTCCTATCCAGAGCAATATTTTTCAAATTTTTTAATAGAAGCTGTAAGAATCCTATAATTCCTCAGTCTAAAATCCCCTTAGATTCTTCCCTCTAGTGAAGCACTCCATGAATACAAGATGAGGGGGAAGAGGAACCTGTAGAGGATAGCGAGACTGATCCGGGAGGTCGAAGGAAAATTGGGAGCTATGTCCTTGAGGTCAAGAAAACTCTCCAAGAGGGGCAGATAGATAATCCACTCTCAGAGGCTGCTCATGGGCCACGTGATGTGGACAGCTGGAATACGCGGTTGGAATCCGCCTTTTCAGATTGGTTTCCCAAAGCAGTGATTTCATTAGTTTGCTTTAGAAACTAGTAACTTGTCATTTTGTAGGGTTTCGTTATATCTACAGCCAAAGTTGTGGTATGTCGGGGAACACTTATTCCCTATACATTTTTGTGTGTGTGAATTTATTGTCTTTAAAAAAAAAAACCGGCGAAACGTGGCTATTTTTTGTGAATTGGTTGTGACTGTTGAAAGAAGAGCCAGGTTGTCACTGAGAGATTTCCGACACTCCTAAGATTTCCAATAATCCATGCACTCTGCAGGCTGGATATTGAGTGGCAAAGCAGGATAAAACACGTGCTTTTGAAAATCCTGCTGCTTTTCAGGCGTTTCAAAGTAATTGAGGATGCATCTGCTGCATCCTGCCTGCAGGTTAGAGAACATATTTTCTCAAGGAAATGGCTTGCACTTAAGATTTAACATTTCGTTTTTTCACCCAGATTTGTATCCCTTTTCCACATGAAATGCCTTTCTCAACTACACCTGCCCTCCGAGACCGAGTCGCACGCCCCCTTCTCCAGGTGAGCTGACGACCGGCTTCCTGTTAAAGCGAAGAACAGCCGGTCCTGGTAGAGATCCTCGGGGATGCCCACGCGTCCCAGGAAGGCGGGGGGCGGGGGCGAGGTGGCGGAGGTGCAGGCCGGTCACTGGTGCGCGGAACTGCGCGTCCTTTAAAGCTTGGTCTTGGTAGAAATCTTTGTAGGACCTCAGTGATTGCCTCTTCCCCTGCAAGACGGTCAGGCGGGGCAACCGGGGGCTCAGAGGGCCTGACCAGTGCAAGTCCGCGGGGCTCAGGGCTCCTGGACTTGCCCCGTTTGCGGGGCCTTGTTCCCCCTGTTAAGAGTCAGCCCCACCCCCCACCCCCCCCCCCCGTTGCAAGATCTGGGTTTTCAGTTACCTCGGAGTAAGGGCGGAATCTTCAGCTGCACGCGGAGGATGGGGGTCTCGTTCCCCGAGCTCCTCCTCGTTTCTTTGCTTGTTCGGCCTCGGGAGCCAGCGGGTGGGGCGGAGGCCTCCGTCCTCCTCGGCCGGGTGGGCCAGGGGGGCCAGGGGGGCTGCGCTGCCGTGATGCCCCCCCCCGGAGGTCTCATCATTCGCCAGGGCAGAGACGCAAAATCCAGGAGCAGGAAGGGGCTCGGGGCGAGCACAGCGTCCCCGGCTCCCCCAGGTGGCCTGAGGTCACGGGGCGTCCCGAGGCCCGAGGGGGCCCGCCCGCCCAGGGGAGGCTGGTAGTGCCCGGGCCGGGGCGCTGCTCCCCGGGAGCCTGCGGGAGATCGCGGATGCCCGGGGCCGGGGCCGGGCGGGGCCGGGCGGGACGGCAGGACGGCCTCGGCGCCCCCCGGGCGGGGCACTCGTCGTCGGGCAGCGGGGCGGAGGCGAGGAGTTCCCGGGACTGGGGTCCGGGCGGCCTGCGCAGGGCTGGGAGCACGGGGGGCGGGGGCGGGGCGGGGCCGCGGGGGGCGGGGCTCCCGGCTAATGAGGCGCGGGGGCGGGGCCAAGGGGGGCCGGGGCCGGCCTCGGGTCCCCGCTAATGAGAAGCGCGGGGCGGGGCCCTCGGGGGCGGGGCCGGAAGCGGCCTCGACGGAGCCCAGCTAATGAGGGGCCGGGGGCGGGGCTGGAGGCGGCCTCGGTGGGGCCCGGCTAATGAGGGGGCGGGGCCGGGGCGGGCCCGGCTAATGAGGGGGCGGGGCCGGGGCGGGCCCGACGGGGCCCGGGCTAATGAGGCGCGCGGCGGCGGCGGCGGAGCGCGTCTCGGAGCTGGGCTTTCCCCCGCGCGGCGGGCGCCGGGAGCCGCCTTTTCCGCTGGGTGTCACTCGGGGGTGGGGGTCTGGCTCATTGAAAAGCGCCGCGAGGGGGCCCGGCCAGTGCCCTTCGGTGAGCGCTCGCGGGCGGACGGCGGAGGTGCGGAGGCTCGCGGCGGCGGGACCTTGCGCCCCAGGACGCGGCTGCCCCTGCGCGCGGAGCCCGGGCCGCTGCTCCGCTGCGCCCGCTGCGCCCGCTGCGCCCGCTGCGCCCGCTGCGCCCGCTGCGCCTGCTGCGCCTCGGTCTCCTGTGCGCGCTCCGGCCGGGCGGCCGCGGGAGCCGCGGGAGCCGCGGGAGCCGCTGGGGCGAGGACGGCGCGCGGCTGCTGCTGCTGCCCCCGGCCCGGGCGGCGGGGAGCGGAGAGGCCGAGCCGGGCGGCGGCCCCGCCTATGCCGGGAGGATGCTGGAGAGCAGCGGCTGCAAGGCGCTGAAGGAGGGGGTGCTGGAGAAGCGCAGCGACGGCCTGCTGCAGCTCTGGAAGAAAAAGTGCTGCATCCTCACCGAGGAGGGGCTGCTGCTGATCCCGCCCAAGCAGCTGCAGCAGCCGCCGCCGCCGCCGCCGCCGCCCCAGCAGCCGGGGCCCGGCCCGGCCGAGCCGTCCCAGCCGGGAGCGCCCGCCGCCGCCAGCCTCGAGCCGCCGGGCAAGCTCAAGGAGCTGCACTTCTCCAACATGAAGACCGTGGACTGCGTGGAGCGCAAGGGCAAGTACATGTACTTCACCGTGGTGATGGCCGAGGGCAAGGAGATCGACTTTCGGTGCCCGCAGGACCAGGGCTGGAACGCCGAGATCACGCTGCAGATGGTGCAGTACAAGAACCGCCAGGCCATCCTGGCCGTCAAGTCCACGCGGCAGAAGCAGCAGCACCTGGTGCAGCAGCAGCCGCCGCCCCCGCAGCCCCCGCAGCCCCCGCAGCCCCCCCAGGCGCAGCCCAAGCCGCCGCCGCAGCAGCCGCAGCAGCTGCACCCGCACCCGCACCCACTCGCGCACCCGCACCCGCACCCACACCCGCACGGCCACCGGCTGCTCCGCAGCACCTCCAACTCCGCCTGAAGGGGCCGCCCAGGTAAGGGTCTCGGCGGCGCGCAGGTGCGCCGGCCCGGGGGGCGGAGGGAGGCCGCTGACACCCCTGATCCCGCTGACCCCGCGGCGGCGCCCACGCGCGGGGGGCGGGCGGGCGCCACCTGCTGCGGCCCGGGCTCGAGCCCCGACTCCCTTCGCTCACCTCTTCCCAGGTGCGAGGACCACACGTGGGGCGAGCACCTTTGCACCGTCACTTGCACCTGAGAGTCGTCTCCCCGCCCCGCGCGCCCCGGGAGCTCGCCCCGGAAGCTGGACGCCTCCCTGCCTCCTCCTCGCCCCCCGCGACCCCCATCGCAGCGCAGGACACCTGCCGCCCCGAGGGCTCGCTATTTATGGACCTTTTCGAGGATCTTCCAGTACGGTGGACCTTCTAGGAGCAATGATGTACTGTAATTTTTATTTTAATGTATTTTGATTTATGATTATTTATTAGTTCTTTTTTTTAAATGCTTGTTTTAAGACATTTCTGAATGTAGGCCATTTTCCAGGAAAAAAAAAAAAGAAAAAAAAAAGAAAAGAAAGAAACTCTATTTTCAAGAACTTATTCCCTAGTAAACTCTAATCTTGGAAAAGAAGAAAAGAAAAAAAAAAAGTAGAAGGGCGGTGGAGGGGAAAACGTTAAACATTCATTATTCCTAGGGCATTTCCAGAAGGTCTGACACTTTCGTTGTTTTGCCAGGTGGTTGAAATTAAACTCTGTGATATTACTGCACTTTTACTTTGAGATTTTTTTTTTTTCCTTAGACATACATTTTCTTTCGAGTAGAAGTTTTCAAAAGCTCAGTGTTCGGAGTTGTATAACTACGAAAATCTAATTCCTTTTCTAAAAGGAGATTTGTAGTAATGATATCTAATTCCAAATACTTAACACATAACCCAACTGATGGCAGGATGAGCATATCCTGAATAAATGGTAGGGCTGATGTAATGGAGGAAAAGCCTTGCTTATGTCATCTGTTTGAAGGGGCTAATGAGACTTCTGTGATTTCTGAATATGAGTGCATTAGGCGGTTTGTTTCAAAAAAAAAAAAAAAACACAGCGGGGTGGCGAGGGGGAGAGAACCGTTCAACTTGTTCGAGAGAACATTTGTGCTCTTACCCACCCTAGAGATTACCCTTCTCTGAGAGCTTTGCACACTCTACTTGAACCACCTTTTCTGACACTTTTACTGTATTCTAGAAATGTACTCTAGAATCTCATAATCTAAAATAGAATTTGTAAATATTTCGAAGGACTAGGAGTCTTAGCTTTTTTGTATTCATACCGAAAATACTGCTGAGCAGAGAAACCAACTCTTCTGCTTCTTACTGCTCTGTGAGACATGAGGGTCATATATCATGTAGCTAGGTTAGCTAAACTCAGACATTGAAAAAGGAAGGACTGGATAAAGCTTGGATTTTCAGTAAGAAAACAACCCAGTCTTGTTTTAGCAGCCACTTGTTCAGGAGTCTGAGGGGCGGGGTGGAGCGGCGGGGGAGGATGTGCTTTTAAAGGTGGAACAAACCCTCTTCTGTATCAAATCAAAAGGATGGTCCAAATCCACAAGGGCAGATGCTGCTTAGGCTTAAAAAAGAACCCTAGTTGATACCAAAACCTCTTGCGGCTGAAAATCACTTCCTATCTGCATGCCTTTATTGATGGTCTCTGTTTTCCATTATCTTTTTCACAAAGTCTTGATCAGTATTTTTCCAGCATCCAAATACTGAATGGTCAGTATTATTAGGCCATTGCTAAGTTGCAGAGTCGAGAAAGGAAAAGAGAAGGCCGTGCTAGAGACCTCTTTATTCTCCTTCCACCTAGAAAGGAGTTGAGATCAAATTCCTTTCTAGTACAATATTTAAATGATGAATTTTGGGGTCACAACTCTAATCTGAAAAGTTGTGGGTGGGGGGAGTTCAAACTCAGGCAAATAGCAAGCACACCTTAAGGGACTCCCACTTCCAGTGGCTAAGTCACAGTTCTGGAAATAGGCTGCAAAGGTCAGAAACGTAAATAGATACACACAGACGCACACACACACGTGCATATACGTGTAGGTATGTGTGTGGGTATGACGGGCAGTTCTGACAACAGATCTGAAGAGTTCTTAACTGTGCTTCGGCTTCTCTCGAACCACGGTTGTGCTTTTTAGATAATGCCTCGTTGTATGGTCTTAATATACGCAGGCCCTATAGCCCCCGATTCAACCGTAGTTTTTGTCTCTCAAGTTTTTGTGCTATAAAAAAAAGAAGTCCAATCCATAACAAATATTTTTAAGACTAACATTGATGGGGGCCCTTAAAAGGCCTTTGTATGTTGTCCGCTTATGCACAGGCGAGGTAGCGTGTGGGAGACAATAGGCACAGGCTTCCTTCGGGGCTGGGATTTTCTCCTGCCCCCTCTCCCCTCAGAGGCTGGCTGTTAAGGGGCCTCCGGATTCCTGGGGCCTTTGTCCGCCCCTCCGCGGCCCTGTCCCTGGTCTGCTGGGACAGTCCCCCCACGCTGACCCTCCCGGCGGCCCTCTCGCCTCAACCCCTCTCAGCATTTACCTGTGAGACCTCGGAAATGAGAAAGGAGGGGGCAGGATGTCTTGTTGTTTGACACTTTGAGCCCAGGAAGGCTGAATCATTTTTTCAGAACAGCACAAGCAGCACGCAGGACACAGAGGCAAGCCGCTCCGTGTCAGCGGCCAGTGTACCATATTCTGTAAGAAAACGATACAAACCACCCAAGGTCATTGTGTTTTTAAAGATTTTATTTATGTATTCATGAGAGAGAGAGAGAGAGAGGCAGAGACCCAGGCAGAGGGGGAAGCAGGCTCCACGCAGGGAGCCCATGCGGGCCTCGATCCCAGGACCTGGGTCACGGCCTGGGCCCAAGCAGGTGCAGGCATGCCTTGGCCCCTCACCTCAGGCCTGTCCGTGGCCAGCTTGTGGCCAGTGCGAGTCCAGCACGTTGCCTGTTTTCTGTACCCGGGGCAAGTGACTTGGTTTGCCTTTGGCTCCAGGGCTGAGGACGGGGCCTGAGACTGAGTGCAGCCCGAGCCTCACAGGTGAAAATGGGCCTGGGGCCCTGGGGGCCCTTGGCCTCCTCTTTTGAACCCGCCGAGCTCGCTGCTGGGGCTTTGCCAGGAAACCGCCCCGAGCAGCAGCGTAAAACATGGGAATCCCAGGGTTCGCGTCCAGTGCATCCGCGACTCTCCCAAGAGACACGCACACGTTTACCTAAACCACCCTAAGCTGGACTACCCGTGGAGTTCTGTTGAATGGGTTTTAAAGATCGGTTTTGTAGACTCTTGACACAATTCGAAGGGTGACTTTTTGATCTGCAGTGTTGAACGGATCTAGAGCTACACTAGGTTGGATGACAAGGTGGCCTGTGACTTTGTCGGCAGGACATCTGCCAAGTGGAAGAAGGACTCCACCGGGGTTTTCCTGGCAGGGCCCCTGTGGTGCAGTGAAGGCGGCAGAAGGACCCTGGAAGCATCTGCATAAAAGCATAAAAGCTGGTGAGACCTACTGCCACCTGCTCTGAAGTGACCTGTCCGGGATCAGTTAGGCCTGGTGTGGGGGAGGGGGCGGTGGGTTCAATAATACGTGGTCCTTCTAGATCACTGTATTTATTTTGTGAGGAAGGATAAAACTACCGTCCGTTACATTCCACCATCCGTCTTCCGCTTAAGGTTTTAGAATTTGCAAGTATCGGCTTCTGAAAACCAAGCATCACCAGGTACCACATGCTTTAGAAAGTATATCACATTTGTGAACTTAATAGTGTGGTTGCAATTTGTATAAATATGCCTCTAATGACTTTGGGGAGATGTGATTTATTTTTCATATTTAAATGCATTCCACTTCAAATAAAGTATCTATTGTGATGACCAGCCTGTGCCCCGTTCGGAGGCCTTGTTAACGCGGCACGTACACTATGCGTTCCAGGGGGAGAAAGGTTCTAAAGGGCTTGGCTGTTCTAAAGGCCACGGACATCCTGGGAAGAAAAGAGCCATTTTAGAGGTTGGGAATTATTTTTTAAGACTTATATTATTTATTATATTTATTTATATTTATTCTGGGAGGGTATGGGGGGTGTGGTGGGTGGAGAGGGAGAGAAAACATCTCAAGCAAATGCCGAGCTGAGCGTGGAACCCCACGACGGGCTCGATCTCAGGATCATGACCTCAGGTCAGGATTATGACCTGAGCTGAAATCAAGACTCTTGGACGCTTAACCGACTGAGCCACCCAGGTGTCCCTACCTGGGAATTTTTAATAAAATAGAGAAATTCCCTAAGGTCTTTTGGTGAAATAATTAGCTTTCAGAATGCTAATGAATCTGAGTTGAATTTTCCATAGCACCCCAGAGGATGAGAAATGGTCTCCAGTGATTACTTTGAAGGTAATTCCCTCCGAGTTCCAGACAGATTCGAGTCCTAGGTCCCTGGAGAGCTTGAAGCCTTGGCTCTAAGAGAATCATTCTTCAAGCAGGTTCTCTCTAAAGCTTCCTGTTTTGTGTTGAAAGTAGAAGAGAGACTTGACTCTCTAAAGGAAAACATACCTTTACTCTTAGACAATCTCCACTGGCATCTAAAAGACATTAAATCTCAAAAAAGACTTTCAAATGTGGAATTGGAAGGCAATTTTTTTTTATCCTTTGCACAGTCTTACAGTGATAGCTTTATTACTCTGCTGTTTCTTCGTTTTTTAAAGAAGAAATGAAAAATGAGAAGACAAATTACTGACATTGCAAGGGGATGTCAGGGTTACCATGTGACAAGGTGGTAAAGCAGGGCTGAATGGACTTCAGAGTCCTCATGTATGGGTTCAAGTCCAGATCATACCACTTACCAGTATGCGGATCTTGCATGTCTTAACCTTTTGGAAACTCAGTTTCCTTTTCCATTAAACGGTTAATAAAAATTCCTGCCTTACAGTTATTGAGAAGATTCAGTAAGCACACAAAGAAGCGCTTAGAAGCTCCCTGTATACAGCAGATAAACTGGCTTGGGAATCATTATAACCATTTGAATGTATAATATATGGTGTTTTAAAGCTTTGAAGTGTATTTTCTGAGATCTCTGCGTAAGACCAGGACGATGGCAATATCCTTGTATTTAACTTTGAAAAGGAAAAACGGCCATTATTTATAGTGCTACTATTTTCATTTGCTTATCACTTTCCAATCTTGGTGCACATGCTTATGTATTTTAAGCAAGTTACAATTAAACAATAAAAATACCCAGATTGCCACTTGAGGACAGAGAGAACATTTGGTCCCCAGTTCTGAGAGTGTTGGTGGCTGTTGCTTCCAGAGAGTCCTGTCCCTGGAATTGTCTCAGGGAGAGCCACCTTGCTCTAGGATGCCCCCCTCCTTGGGGATAGCCCACATCCAGTGATTGGTCCATGGAGAGTGGATAAAGACCAGGCCCTGTTGTGTCAAGTGAAAGGGCCATCCCAGCTCCCACAGCTCCCTATAGAAACCTGTCTCAACAGTAAACCTGCTCTGAAGTTCATCTCCCCGTCTGACCAATCTTGTTTCCCTTGTTCCGTCACAGCTGAGGTCCCCAGGAGCCCTGACTCTGTTCCCCACCTGCCTACCCAAACCTCCCAAATCTGAGAGTCTCGGAACCTATTGCTCAGGGAATCCTGTCTATGACCACAATGGTCAAGCGTATGCTTTAGAGTAGTTTCTCTCTATGTGGAGCCATTCTGTTCCCCAGAAGACATGGGACAGTGT